ACAGGAAGCTGAGCCAATCTAGATTTAGTAGATTGTGGAGCAACAGGTTCAGGGATGTGAGTATAGGAAAGTACTCCAGCTTTTCAAAGTGTGACGAGTGCACTGCTATCAAAATGGCTTTGTCGAAGAATTCTTGCAGCGCTCAAGAGCGAGAGACGTTGGTTAGAAGGCGGCTCGACCACAACATCAAGCAGAGAAGCTGCAGGACTGCATATTATCATAACAGGATTCTCTCCATGGAGAGACCTGACTCTTACCTCTGCATCATCCACGACAAAATGGACCAGAAAAAGACGTGCTTACCTTGACTCAATCCTGCCCCCAAGGCAATCTTTTCATCCATGCAGCTACCTGTGTCTCTGTTTGGCATAATCGCTCATGGGCATGGTGCCCAGAACTATGGGAACTTCTTTGTACCTCTATGGGGTGGCGGGGGTGCAAACATGATGATTGCGTCCCTAGCAAAACACTTGAGGTCTCTGCAAAGTGCGCAGACTGAGCTGAACGGCCAACCCTTGCATAAGGCCCTTGTCGACCGAACCCCATACAGGGTTCAGCTGGAGGAGGAGCAAAGGCTTGCAGTATCGCATGGGGCCCCATGCCATCCCAGTGAATATGTTGGCCGTCAGATTGTAGACGTGAGGCCTCATGCCATTCCGACGAGGCTGGTCGCCCGGTGAATGCACAGCCTCATCCAAACGAAGCAGAATCTCAAGGAAGTTCTTGCGGCCGATGTGGCCTTCCACCCCATCTTTTGCTCCAAATAGACAATGCTGGCAGTGAGAACAAAAACATGTACGTCTTCGCGTACTTGGCGATGCTTGTTGCCAAAGGCATATTTGAAACGGTTACACTTGGCTTTCTCATGGTTGGGCACACTCATGAAGACGTCGATGCCATGTTCAGTCACCTAGCAGAGTCCCTCTGGCGATCCAATGTCCTCACCCTCCCACAACTCTACGATGAATTCCAAAATTGCATCAAAGGCACTGTTGAAGCTGCACTTGTGACAGAGGTTCCAGACTTTAAGGGGTTTGTAAGAGGCTACATCAGGGACGGATCCAAAACGCTGATTGGCCACTCCAAGCCTCTTCAGTTTCATTTCAGCATGCGTGACGGTGCTCCAGTGATGAGGTACAAGATGAGAGAATGGGACACAGTGTGGCTGCCAGTGGATGGCATTGAACTCTTCAAGAGAGATCCCATAACTGGGGAACCTATGATTCCTCAGGGTTCCCCACGGCTGATGCACCCGGATGGACTCAAAGACTAGGAAAGTATAGTGGCCGGGATTAGACAGCATATTGCCTTCTGGAAGAGGGGGTTGGTGTTTGGTGGAGAATCCTATTTTAAGAGGTGCAAGCCTTTGCTCGAATACTGGGAGAAGATTATATCTGCTATCCAAAATGGGCCGGTTGTATATGAAGAATTGGAAGAGTCTTTTTGGCCAGAACCCAGAGCACCAGATAGTAGCGGAACAATGTCCTCTGGAAATGTAGTGACAGATAACGATGTTGAGGATCACTATTGTGGGCCGAGGAACAAGAAGCCGGATTCAGCATTCAATCCAGTACAGGTTTGCAAAGGAATGGTCGTGCTTGTCAGACCCAGTAATAAAAAACAAATGATATGGGTGGGGCGCTGCATCACTGATGCAGAGGAGGACGCGGAAACTAACTCCTTCAATGTAACTGTGGAGTGGTTCAAGCCAAGTTCCGGATATACGAAGGATTGCCTAGAAAAGAAATGGGTGCTGAATCCAAGGGATCCCAGCATGAGCATATCGGTGGATAATGTTGTGCATGGTTGGATGTGGAAGCAGAGTGCCACCATCACCTTGCCAGACCATGCAAGAGATGCAGCAAGAGCATTCATAACCCGGGTTCAAGGTGAGATTCATTAATATTCCTTTATTAAGTTTCTAATGTATTTTATTTCAAGGTGAACAATCTGAATCTGAATCAGAGGAGGCGTGATGGCATGTGGCCCTTTGCACTAGTATATCTTAATACCGGTCTGAGAAATAGAATGGCATGTGCCCTCAGGCTTTTTACTAAATCACCTTTGAAAGAAATGCAAGCCTCTATGTCGTAAAAAAAAGGTACTAGAGAAATTCCTTAATAATATGAATGTTATTTAGTTTCATGAAAATACACTAAGGGTCAAATGAGTTAAATGACTTCTCCAGACTAGCAATGCCTCTTGCTACACCTTCACAATTAGATTCGTTAGAAAAAGATAACATTGAATAATATCTAAATGTTCTCACCATTAAGTTATCTGTCTGGCTAATAGGAATGACGTTCATCTTGGAAAGCTCACCACACGCTCAATGAACAAACAAATAGTGTGTGCGCGCATGCCATCGCTCTTCTTTAGCTTCAGATTCGGCTTGTTCACCTTGACAATGAGATTTATTATACAACCAGATGGACTCAGTCTGGACACAAAGTCACCGCGCTAGTCACCATGCCCCAGATATGTCTAGCCCCTGGACAAAAAACATATAATTTCACGTCATTTTCAAATACTTGAAAATTTGTACCTAGTCCCATTTTACTGAATAAATCCCACTTTAACGAAATAGAGCTTTATTAGAGATCTAGTAGTAGACTTTGTCTTTGGATGTGTATGCCCGCAAGTTTCATGATCTTTGTTTTAATCTCACGAGCACCTATAATGAGCTGTTAAAAGTGCAATGTTTTATCAAAGGATTGAATATGTAGATATACAGCAAAAGGTCAAGAAAGATTTTCCAGCAATTGTGACTGATGCTATCACTAAGGCTTAGATCTTTTTACCCAAATTGTTAGTCAACTTGGTCAACTCTTGTCAACAGGATGGTTTACAGGGTAGTCAAAGTGATGACCAACCTGCCAATACTTCATCTTCTAGGAAGAAATGGCTATTGTTTTGTTGTGGCTTGAAGAGTGGAGATAATAATGAGGCCAAAAGACATCATTTGGACTAGGGAGAGAAGGATAAGGTGAAGGGCAATTAATTTTGTTGTCACAAGGTTGGACATCACAGCAAGGATTGTCCTCTTGTGAAGGGATCAAAGAATGTTAAGGTGAATGTGGTGGAATTCATCATGGATACAGCTCAAACATCTACTATGGTGGCTCTTCCACACCATATGGCAATGTCGTCTAGTCCCTAAGAATTTAAGAATTTAAGTCTCAAGTGCATATCAACTCTATAGAGATTAATGGTTCTATGTGCAATCAGCTTGTGAAAGCCAAAGGGGACATTCAAGGTACTATTGTTAGTATTCTTTTTGATCCAAGTGCTACTCACAACATTTTGAGTTCCAAGGTGGTGAAGAAGCTTGGTTTGCCTATGGAAAAGAGTTTAGTAATCTATAAGGTGGTTATGGTAGATGGATATAACACTTGTGTTTACGGTGAATAGGCTCTGAGTGTTCCTCTGACGGTTTAGGGGATTCTTGACCATCCTTCGTTCTAGGTTATGGATCTTGATCACACAAACATTATTCTTGGGAAGGAATAGTTTTATGAAAGGAGGCCAAGGATTGATTGGGAGCATAATATTCTGCATATTAAAGTTGGTGGCACTATGAAAGAGATTGTCGGGATAGACAATGGTGATACTCCATTGATTAACGCTTTGGAGTTGGTGACATGCACGCATGAGATAGTTAGTTCTTTCATGGTGTACCCATTTCTTTTTAATATGATCATGTTTGATTTGGAGTACATTCGTGGGTATAGGGCTCAGGTAGATTCCATTCAGCAGGAGTTCCATGATGTATTTTCTGATAAGTTGCTTAATGGTTTGCCTCCCGAACATGGAATTCAGCATGAGATTGACTTGGTTCCTGGAGCTACTCCTTATTAGCGTCAATTAACTCATATTAGTCCTACTGAAGATGAGGAGATTAATAAGTAGTTTACTGAATACTTTCGAAAAGGGTGGTTGGTTATGAATCAACAAGTCTCCTTGGGCTACTTCAGTGCTGATAGTCAAGAAGAAAGATGGTATATAGCATTTTTATGTGAATTACAAGGGATTGAGTGATAGGGCAGTGAAGAATATATTCCCAATCCCTCGTATCGATGATTTGCTCAATCGTCTTTGAGGTGCTTGATATTTTTCAAAGATTGATTTGAGGTAAGGGTATCATCAGATTTTTATCAAGCTAGAGGATGTTTTGAAAATTGCATTTCAAACAAGGATGAGTCATACAAGTTTTTGGTGATATTGTTTGGTTTGACAAATGCTCTTGCAACTTTTTAAAGATTGATGAATCAAGTTCTACAACCTTACTTGGGAAAGTTTGCAATTGATTATTTTGATGATATCCTAGTATTTAGCTCTTCAATGGAGGATCATGAGATGTATGTGCGAAGTGTTTTACAACTTTTAAGGGACAACAAACTCTACTCAAAGTTATTAAAGTGTGAGTTTTTCTTAGAGGAGATTGAATATCTCGAGCATTTGATTTTAGTACATTGGTATGGCTAGAGTTTTTCAACAATTTGTGAAGGATTATTCAGAGATAATAACACCCTTGACCGATCTTCAGAATACATTGAAACATGCTACTATTCATGGTTGGGACGAGAAGTGTCAAGTGGCATTTCAACATTTGAAGCAATATTGTACCTTTGCTCTTGTGTTGAAGATTTTTAATCTTGAGAAGCCTCTTGTGGTCGAGACAGATACAAGTAACATTGCTATTGGAGCCATCTTGCTTCAAGTTTATAAGGTTTTCCTCAAAGAGTTGAGGATCTGATCTAGATGAGCACTTGACTTACCAAAATAGCTAATGTAGTTGTGGTAAACAACTATGGGCATCCTCTTGCCTACATAAGTTAAAAGTTTGATTCCACACAACAGAATTGGCTTACTCGGGACAAGGAGTTTGGAAACCTCCCCTAACACATGCACGCCCAGGAGCAGCTCCACTCACGACTGAAAGCCAGGTTCAAATGACTACTAGTTTATTTCTATTCTAGGCATATGCTGGCAGTTAGAACCGCCAACAAGAGAGTGGTTTTGAGAGACCCCAGCGCAGCTAGGGTTCCCCATCTCCTTTCCCATTCCATTGTACTTCAAGACTCCTGAATCGCACCCTCTATTTGCATTATCTTTGACTTGAGTCTCTCTCCCCGCCGATCCACCACTTCTTGCACCCCTCCTCAGCTGGCGACCTCCGGAGATTAGGCGCCAGCTCTCAGATCGAGTTCTAGCGGTAGCAGCATTCTCATCCATCTCACATTTTACCATTAAACATTTGGCGACCACAGTGGGATGGATCGTTGAGAGAGATCAAGGAACGAGAATCTGGTAACCATTTGCATTTTTTGAAATTTTCTTGTGTGCAGAGATTCAAGAACTTCAAGAACCACTCTTTCTCTCCACATCGAGTATGCCACCACCAACATGGGTACCCGGAACACGCCTTGCTGCAGCGACTACTAGAGGAAGAAAACTACACCAACAAATTTTCGAAGAAATTAAAGATCTTTCAACGAGACCTCCTAGCGCTCTATCCGAACGAGGAGAAGAAGACCTTTGCCATCAACCCCAACATCAGCACCGAACTCTTCACCGGCCAGCACCGAGGAACCGACAGCAAGCCCGAGCATCTCCTCCGAGATCTTCTCCGACCAGCAATCTGAGAGCCCAACTCCGAATTCGAGCAGAAGAACACCGGCTGCAAGCCAGAGAACTCGCCGGCAGAGCCTCCAAACTCTTCTCCGACAACAGCTCTGCTTTACCGACCAGACAAAAGAACAGCAAGAATTCCGGCAACAGATCTTCCCGACCAACGCTTCTTCCACACATCTGTCGCACGTTCTCTTACGACGAGCCTCCGACACTCTATCCCGGAATCGGCCAAGTCACTGAAGGAAAGCTCCTGAACGCACCGACAATCTTATGACAGACTCTCCGACTGAGCGCCCAAACCAGCACCAAGAACATCATCCAACGATGACATGACGCTAATCTCCACGCTGCCAAGACTCTGTTCGACCACGCCATCGAGTACGCTGGCCTCAAGACCATTGACGACGAAAGTGGTTCTGATCACCCCAACCAGTCCAACTATCCAAAACTCTTTGTCGAGCTTCATCTCGGCACCGGCACCTGGAAGACCAGCCTGCACTCAGCACCTCGTGTCAACAAATCGATTGGAGACTCCACCGACAAACCCACGCCGAAGAAAGAAACGAAGAAGAAACTCCTGGAGTACAACTGCTACCCACTTCCGGACGAGTTTTCCTCTGAGCGCCCAAACACCAGCCCGGACGACATCCCAACAACTTCTTTGACCGACCTGCATGACAGCTCTCCAATCACTACTACACCGAATCAGTCAACTCCCCGATAAGCTCCAAGAGATCATCCGGCAGAAGATTTGCAACCTTCTTCCGGCAACACACTTTGTTCAATTGACTGACATCAAATTCACCACATCTTTCATCTTTGCATAGTAACCTTTAGAAGATTATACAATAATTACTGCCGGAGACTAGCTTCGACGCTACAGGCCTGAAGATATGACATTGATTCGACATTCAGCCAGATACCCGACACCATCACCGATAACCAAGTCGAGAGTTTGATGAAGACCTTCATCCCCGAGATACCAACATCCAAGATAGTTTTAGTGTACAAGAACCCATGGCCGAAGAGAGCCGCATGAACAAGCCGAGGAAAGCAGCCAGCAAACAACAAGAAGACACCGAAAGACTTCAACGACACCTCCAGCGAGAGTTGAAAAGACTAGAGAAAGAGAGAAAAGAAAAAGCCACCCAGTGGTCCCACTTTGTACAAGTTTCTGAAAGAGAAAGGTACATTACTGATGAATTGTTTCCCAAAATTGCAGCCGGTGAAGACGCCGGAAAGATTTTAGAAGGCTACCAGAATTTTAGGACACCGCCTGCTTCTCCGACTGCAGCACCGGAGAACCCGCTAGAGACCCAGCCAGAAGTTCAGCACACTCCCCAGCACAGCTTCCACAACCCACTCTTCCGAGGACAGACCAACCCAAGAACTTATTTCTCCTGGACTGTACCGACAGCTTCACCAGCAGTCCTCGGCACACTGTTTTCGACACCAGTATCAGCTCCTACCTCGACCACACCATTCGCCTCCGCACCGGACTTCTACAACTTCCAGCAACAACCAGACTCCCCAAAGCTCAACTCAGTCGACTACGGCCTCCGTCCGATATACATTGTCGACCCAGACGATCGACCAGCACATCACCAGCAATACGAGTTCGGCCAATCCTCCAAATACACACTTGACCAACTTTTCGACCAGGCGTTCAGCAGACCCCACCAACAACCAGAACCAGACATCGATCTTCAGCAACCGGACTTACAGAACACTCCACCAACTGCTCCGACACACGTCCCGCTAAACGCTCCACCGAACCCTCTGCCACACAGTCTACCAGACATTCCCCCAGACATCGTCACCATGACAATGGTACTCCCCAACACGGTCATCGGCAAGCTTGTCAGCTACCCACAATTCAAAGGAAAGAAGACTGAAGACCCAGAAAAGCACGTCATTCGCTTCAAGGAGGCCGCCCGAGTCAACGGCCAGCAAGACAACCTCGCATTCCTCTTCGGCTGCACCCTCAAAGGATGCGCCGGAGAATGGCTTCAGACGACCGACCCGAAACTCACCTTCGACGAGCTCACCAAAGCCTTCACTGACCACTTCAAGTCAGCACTCAGCCAGTCAGAGAAGCTTCAGAAGATACAGAACATCAAGATGCGTACTGGCGAAACTCTTGAAGAATACACCGAACAATTCACCAAACACGCCAACCGCTGCAAGAGCTCTTCTACTGACATACTTTTATACCAGTGGTACATGCAGGGACTAGCTTCACACTTGAAGAAAGCCGCCACCAAAATCGACACCAGCGATTACAAGACTCTTTCCAAAGACTTGAAAGAAGTTCAAATACGCCGACAAACTGCACGAGTTGATGAACCGGAAGACTCTGACTCCGAGGAAGATGAGGACGACCTCCTCGACAGCCTCACCAGCAAGTCCAAGGACAAAGTCGGCATCCGAAAGATCCAGAAGCTCCTCACCAAATTCACCACATCCGGCGACAAATCCGATGTCCAAACCGGCGTTTGGTGCACAAAATGCAAGAATGAAGGACACTCAGCCACCGACTGCAAACTCCAGATTGTCAAGTGCCAAATCTGCGGGAAAGACAACCATGACGCCAAGACATGCAGATTCCGCAGCCAACCTGAAGTCCGACAAATCTCCAACTTCCCCCGGAGACCTCCCCGACAACCTAAGTATTCGACACAATATCCGGCCACACATCCGAACAACTGGCGCCCGCCCCGGAACAACTACCTACCGCGACAATGGAACGCACCACCGAGATTCAACAACAACTACAACAACCGACCCTACTTCAATGACTGATACCAACAACCCAACAACCAGCCATACCAGCAATACCGACAAAACCAGATGGACTACAACAACAGCCAAGCCTATCCACGCTACCAGAATCAAGGGTATCAAGGCTACAACCGATATCAAGGCTATCAAGACCAGAGATATCAAGGCAACTACAACAGCCACCCATGGCAACGCCGAATCCCAGACCAGCCTGGCCCTCCGAGACTCGGACCGCCGCCACCCAGACAGCCAGACCAACAGCAACAGCAACCACCGGCAACCAGACTCATCGAAGCCGACGAACTCCCATTTCCCGAAGAAGACCCAGAACCACAAGTTCTGGCAGTCCAGACTCGAGCACAACTTCGAGCACAGCATCAACAACGACCGGATAAAGACTCAAACACCGAAGATGACACAGGCTCAGAGCGCCCGAAACAAACCCCAGAGTGGAAGACACGCCGACAGCTAGCTGCCAAAGTACAAAATCACCTTACTCAACAGCCACCCAAACTAGTCATTCTCGACTCCGAAGACGAAGAACAGCCCAAGTCAAGCACACAGCAACCGAGAAACCAGCCGACAGCTTTACCGGCACAACTCTTGGCCAACTCAATTGGAGATACAACTGTCGCCGAATCCATCCTCACCCAAAACATCCAGATCACTGTCGGCCAGCTTCTGAAGATTGCTCCATATCTCGTCAACCAACTGGTAAGTCTGACTAACCCTCCGGACACACCTCCAACGGACGCCCCAGCACTAAATACCAGCAAGGACACTGTCGACGCCTTTCAAGCTGAGATACAACCCGGAGACTGCGACAATGAAGTTCCAACCATCGACCTCCGAATCGGCCGACACCAAGTCCGAGGAGCCATGCTTGACGGCGGCTCTGGCGTCAACATCATCGAAGAGAGTCTCGTCTGACAAATCAACCTCGGTCCAGTTGAGCCAGCACCATTTAACGTCCGAATGGCCGACCACCGATCAGTCCGACCCCGAGGAATTATCCGGAATGTCATCACCAATATCAGAGGCATCAGAGTTCCAGTCAACTATGTCATCCTCAAGCTTCCGAAGGACTCCGATGGCTACGCAGTCCTCCTCGGACGCCCGTGGCTCAAACACGCTCGAGCAATGCACAACTGGTCGACCAATCAGATCTTCCTCCAAGGCTCGCAAGGTCCAGTAACAGTCTCGACAAACTCGTCGAAACACCTTCCGACGAACATCCGACCGGTCGACCTCGAAGACTATGACCTCGAAACCGGCCTCGACGACTATGAAGAACAGCAAATACTCCAAGCCTACCCCAACCTCGAACCTCTCGCCGAAATTGACATCTTTAGAGTAGCAGCCGACTTCAGCTGAGAGCGACCCCAGCTTACTGAAGCATTGAAGAACCCGACAACCAGAGACACCACCATCGCTACTCAGCCAGCATTCATTGTCGACTCCGACCAGAAAGTCGCCTATATCCCGACAATACCGACCAACCAACCTCTCGAGAAGATCAACCTTGCCATCGACCAGAATCAGCATCACATCATCCTCGCCAAAGACATCTCTGAGAGTTTCCGGAACAAAGGCCTGAGACTCCTCCAGAATAAAAAGCACTTGTTTGCTTGGAGCTACAAAGACCTGAAAGGAGTCTCACCAGACTTATGTCTGCACACCATCACCCTCCTCCCAAATGCCCGGCCGAAGCGACAGGCACCTTATCGGATGAACCCAAACCTCATGGAGCAAGTCAAGAAGGAGCTCGACAAACTCCTCGAAGTCGAATACATCTACCCGATCCAGAATCCGATCTGGTT